GGGCGCTGGGTGACCCTTGCCAGGGCCCTCCAGGCTCTTGGGTCAGCTCTGCCCTGCTGTGCCTTCTGGCATATTGGAAACGTCTCAAAGTCCATCAGGTTTGGACTGTGGAGAGAGTATTCTCCAGCATGTGCTGGCTGAGGTATGGTAACTGGCATGCTAAAGCCCAATTTCATTTGACTAGCTGCAGCTCGCTTCATCTGCCCTGCGATCCCATTGTGCTCTCGACAGATGTGTATAAAGCTCCCAATAAATGAAGGCTGATGTTTCTCCAGGGGCTGGTCGGGTACTGGGGGAGGGTTGTGCCAGGCGGTGCAGACCTAGCTGGTGCGCCTGTGCACGGTGCCACACGTATCCCTGGGCATCTCCTCTCCCCCATCGCAGCCTGGCATGTGCTGCACCCCACAGCCCCGGCACCTGCAGTGGATGGGCATTTCAAACCCTGACGTCACCTGTGGCTTTCCACAAAGTGTCCTCAAGGGGCCAGGACCATGCTGATGAAGGAGCAGTGTAAAGCGCATTTGGAAAGCCTGTGTGTCCCTGTCGATAGCCACGAGCAAGCATGGCATCCACAGCTGCCTGAGCAGCAGGTGAATCCAATTATTTGGGGCAACATTTGTAAATCAGCAGCAGCTGATCTCTGGTACAACATGACCCTTTCCAAAGGTCCTTCATCCCAACACCCTCCTGTGGAAAGCTACCAGTGTGAGGATGCACAACAACGCAGGACAGCTGGGGTGCCCTGTGCTTCCAACAGCAGCAAGCCCTGGAGCAGCATGGGGCTCTCCTCCATGTGTCCCTCAGGCTGCTTTCGGGACACTGTTGCAATACATTTTTCAGTGCTTTGGCCAGCTTGTTTTGAAGTGACCTAAGTGACAGAGATCCTGGCCATTCTCTTAGAAAAGTAGTTCAGAGCCTGATGTGAAGCCTGTGTGCTTGCTGCAGGGCTCTGTTGGCACTGCCTGGTTTGCTGCAGATGCTGTGCAGGGAATTAACCCTTAGGTGATTGATGGGGGGGGGGGTGATTGGTATTTGTTGCTACATGAAACTGCCCCATGGAGGCATTTCTGCTTTCCCTCAGGTAGGGGATGTGTTCCCATTCAGCAGGATGACCTTGTGCTTCTGGGGTGCAGTAACAGCCCCCCAGGAGCTGTAAATCTGCTTGGTCAGGGCCGGAGGTTTCCTCAGAGGCTCATTGCTCCAGCAAGGACCTGCCTGTGAAAGGAATAGCTTGATTTTCTGCTCCATCAACAGGCAAAGGAGCCAAATGTCAGCCGGCACCTGGAGAGAGAAGACATGGGGGGATCACAGGTTTCCTGTTGTGGGCAGGATGCTAGGAGTGAGGGCTCTGGGAGGACTCTGCTTCCCTTTCTCCTTCCTTCTCCTCTTCCTTCCCCCCCTCTGTCCCTTCCTCCTTCTTTCCTTCTTTCTGCTCTTCCTCTTGCTTTCACTCTCTCCTCTTTCGCTTCCTCTTTCTGTTTCTTTTTATCTCATTCCTCTCTTTCTTCCTGTTTCTTGGCTGCCTCCTGGACATGCCCCTACTGCCAGCCCGGTGCCCATCCCTCTGGCATATCGGCTGGCAGCAGCGGAGCTGCAGAGACAGTGTGACACCTCTGCCTGCACTGAGTCCTCCAGCAAAGCCCCAGTGAATGAAAGGGACCTGTGCCCAGGATAAACACCGTCACCCATCAGCTGGGGGGGCTGTTCTCCCTGTGTGCCCCGTCATCCGGGCTGAGGTCCCTGTGTGGGGTGGAGAAGATGGGCAGGGAGCAGACGTGCTTTGCTGGGAAGGCACCACTGATGTGTCAGCTATATATAACTGTACTGGCCATGCGTTGTGGCTGTACTGACCTAAGGACTGAGGCAGATCATGGTTTTAATGTAGAGTAGTTGCTATTATTACTGAGCTGGTGTTATGGGAGAATGAGTCAAACTTTGGGAACCCCGGGGTGTCCTGTGGCCCATGTGCAGTGGAGGTGGGACAGCATGGCAAGTCCCTGCTGGCAAGGGCAGGCACAGAGACAGACCTGGCCTCCATCAAGGGGGTCTGGCGGGGCAGGAGGAGGTCTTTGTGCTCCTTTGCTCCCTTTCTCTGCTCGGACCGTCCTCTCCCCCTGCAAGCTAGAGCCATTCATGGCATTACTCATGGCAGCGTCAGCAGAGTGGGGATGGCATCGTTGCTGTGGCCTCAGAGAGGAGATGGCAGAGGAGCAAGTAAGGTTTCTTTTGCTTCTGTGCGAAAAAGACTAGCAATCCCCCAAAGCGAGATTTTCCCACTAGGTAGAAACAATCCCCAATCCACAGGTTTCCCCCAGGGCTCCCTTGTGCTCGAGTAACATCACCTAGAACTGCCTTGACAGGGGACCTGCCTGTTGCCTGCTCTGTGTCTCGCCTGCAGGACAAATAAAAATGGTTAACTGGGGTTTTACTGCACAGTCAAGTGACTGCCATAGTTACAGGATCCAGCCGGTGTCACAGCTGCTCACAGCCCAGTGTTGCTCACACCGTTTTGCACCCGGCTGTTCCCCCTGCACTGCGCGAGATGGCAGCCCCAGCCCAGCTGGGCACGGCTACAACAGAGCAGCACCGCTGCTCGCTCCGACATGAGAGGCAGGCCAGGCTCTCCCATCCCTTCTTTAGTCCCTGCAGGCTCAAGGCTGGTGGGTGCTGGATCAGAGCACGGTGGGAGTCAGAGCCTTGCCCAGACAGCGGCAGGGTGACGGGATGCACTCGCCGAGGGTCCTGCTGGGAGCACTCCCTGGGAAGGGGCGCATGTTGGGGCCTGATGCTGTGCAGGGGACCCGGCCTTTGTACGGAGATGGAGGCAAGACGAAGGGGGAACGCGTGGTTTGCTCATGGCAGCAGATGGCTGGGAACAGAGGAGAAGGCTACCATCACTTCTTGGCCCCAGCTCCCGGCGTTGTGGCTCGCACGTGCAATCAGAGGCAAGGGCAGGCAGCGGGGCACTCGATGCCTGAACATTCTCCACTGGGGAGAGACAGAGCTTGGGCGAGAGGCATCAGAAGAGGCAGCAAGCCCTGTCCTGCCCCCAGATGCTTGGGACATGGTGTTCTCTCCAAGCGATGATAAGGACAATCAATAATAAAAACAGGCAGCTGGGATGCAAGCCCAGCCTCCAGCCAGCGACCTTCGGGAGCTGGGTTACTGGAGCAGGCGCAGGCGTTCTTGGCAGCGGGGAGAGCAGCGCCTCGTCGGCCGCCAGCGGAGGGTAAACACTGCTGCTGGGTGTGCGCAGCGGAGCGTGCGGTGAGCTCTGCCCGGGCGTGTGGCTGGCAGACCCCCGCACACCCCCCCGGCTGCGCAGCCCTTCGCACCTCTGGGCCGCTGCCCCCCGCCCCCAGGCGCTTGCTGCAGCGGCTCACGCGCAGGCACGCACAGGCTGTGCGCCCCGATAAAGGGCTTGGGGGGCAGCGGAGCTCGGGCGGATACGCAGGGGTGCCTGCGCTCGTTGCTGTGCTGGGTGCACTGGTGAGCAGGCAGGCAGCGCGCCGTGCACATGCGCGCGGGGGGGGGAGGCACAGCCGGCCAAGCCTCTGGAGTAACCCTGAGCACTTACATAACCATTTGCATTTACAAACCACTGCACAAACATGACCCACTCGCCGGGATCACAGCTGATCTCAGCAAGATCCTGATAAAGCAAAAAAAAAAAAAAAAAAAAAAAAGACTAACCCAGCTCCTGGACCCAGCTGGTCGGGACTGTTTGGGTCTTGTGACGTGGGAAGATTCGCAATGCCCTTGTTGAGCACTGGTGGTGGGGCTCCAGCTCTGCGTTACAGCCTAGAAGGTTCTAGCTGGCCGAGGGCCGATGTGGGCGTCTCTCCTGCAGCAGGTTCTGGCTCTTTCTGAGCTTCTCAGAGCTGCAACAGTGCTTAGGGTTTTGCAGTTTTCCAGGGGCAAAAGGGCTGGGTGGCCACACGCATTACCACTGCCTCCTCCTGACCCAGCCCTAGTGGGATGAAATGGCCTTTTTCGGGGGGGCTGCAATCAGAGGACCCCAGCCTCAGGCCGGACTCTCACTGCCTAATGAAGATACGGGCTGTTTCTTTGCTGCCCAAAGAGCGCTTCCTTCTCCTGAACATTGCCAAGGCAAGGGGTTCAGGAGGTGCTATTTCATGTTGTGTCCTCTGTTTGAGGGACACGGCAGCATCACCCCCATTGGTACTCTCAGTGGAGAAGCTCTGGCCATGGCACTGGTACACCACAGCGCTGGTGGGCACCGTGTCCCTCACACTCTTCCCTCCCACTCTGGGTCCCGCGGAGCTGGTCTCTATCCCAAGACTGAACATGGCAGTGGCTGGCCCCAGCTCTGCTGGCCCCATCCAGCAGTTCCTGTGCTGCCACAGCTATGTTTGAACCTCTCTGGGCATCCTAAGCTCTGTACATCTCCCCACGTTGTGTCCCATCAGCTTCCCTCAAGCAGACGACCCTCCCTGTGCCTCTGCACCCCCACCTTGCCCCAGGCTGCAGCAGGACCAGCACAGCACCCCCAGCCCTGCTGGCCCCACAGGGAGGATTCCTTGGTTGGGCTTTGGAGTGGTGAAGGCTGTTGCTGGCGTGGTTGGGAAGATGTGAACATCACGGCTGCCTTGGGGGAAGGCAGCACCTTGCGTGCCATGGCTGTGTGTGAGGAGCTTGCTCTCAGGGCAGCTGGTGCTCCAAGGCACGTGCTTTCCTCATCCTGTTCAGGAAGCCCTTCTCCTTCTCGGCATCTCCTGCCCTGCACATCTCTCCTCTTCCTCTGGGCACAGAAAGCAAGCCACCTGCTCCAGCTCTTTGAAAGTGTCTGTGGCAAAGACCCACTGAGAAAAGCCTCAAAGTAGCCTAGTAATAGTGGAGGGGGGTGGGGGGAGAAGGAAAAAAAGGGCTCTTTATCTCTCAGCAAACAGCAGAACCAGTCGCTGCACAGCAAAAATGAGAGAGGAACTGGGAGTTAAAAATAACATCCGCTCACAGGGAGCCAGCCCGGGCCACCGAGTTCCCAGCTCCTCTGCAGGCAGCCTGCCTGCGCGGGCAGACCGCGCTCATGAGAACCGTGCTCCTGCACCGTGTCTGAACGCCGTGCCCTGCTGAGCTCCCATCTGGGGGAGCATGGGGACGTGGGGACCCATCCCAGTGTCAGCTGGACGCTCTCCATCGCTGCGAGGACAGCTGCCCATGCCCACGCGGAGCCGTTCCCCCGCAGAGAGCAACAGGATGGAGTTTAGTCCCGGTACACCAGGTACACTCCAGTGCTGCTGAATGCAAGTGTGAGCTGCCAGGCTTCCAGCAGCTGCTGTCAGGGAGAGCAGGGACGTGGCTGTTCCCCAGAGTGAGGGGAGCCAGGCTGGGCATGTCCCCCTCCCGGGGCTGCCCCAGCCATGGGACGGTGTGCAGGCTCCTTGTGTAGCAATAATGGGCACAGCTTGCTCACCATTACGGCACCCTGAGTCTAATCTAGAGGATCCAGTGCTGCCTTGCAAGGCTTTGTTGTGGGAATGGACAGCTTTTCATAGCAACTGTGGGAACCAGCCCCCTGCAGCCCATTCATAGCCAGCAGACGTGCAGGCTTTTGGATACCTCTGGCTTTTCCTTGAAGGGTGTTAGAGGCAATCAGAAAGTAGAATTGCATAAAAGCTTATTTACAGGGTCTGGTCAAACGCCCAGCACACCCTGACCCTCCTGCGGCGTGCAAAGGCCAGTTCCCTGGGTTAGGGAGCAGCCGACTTAAGGTGGCCAAGAGCTTTGACAGGCCCTCCCTGCCACAGAGAGCAGCAAAGCCAAGGGATCCTGATGTCAGGAGTCTGTCTGCTTGACCTCAAATGAACTTGCAGGCCCAGAGCATTGGAGGAGGCTCTTGGTGAGCCCAGCTGTCTTATCTCACCCTCCATGCCATTGCTTTGCTCCTCCCAGGGAGAAGCGCAGCATGCAAAGTGGCGAATAAATACCCTGGGCTCTGCTTCTCGTCCTCCAGCACAACAGGAACGGCATCCCTCAGGGGTACCACTATTTCTGATGTGCACACTGGGGATGTCCCTGCTGTGGGAAGCTCTTCCCAAGTCAGCAGGCAGCTCTGCCTTCCCGCAGCCAGGACAGCGCAGAGCACCGGGCATCTCGGCTTCCTCTTTGGAGGAGCCTCATAGCTGGGGGCAAGGGGACTTGAGCCTGAAGAATTGGACTCTGCAGGACACTAACCTCACCACTTTTAAATCCTGCAGGCTGGCTTTTCATTCCTGCCTTGAGCTAATTCAGCATCTGGCCTGTTCCTCTTGTCTCCCTGCCAGGGGCTCCTGAGGAGCTGGTGGAAGTCGCGAGCGAGCAGATAGCATCCTGTGGTTTGTGCTGCGCTGGGCCAGGAGCACGCCAGAGTGGATGGAGGCTGCACGGCTGGCAGAGGAGAATGCAAAGCAGAGCTGGAGTCTGAGTTTGTCCCCACAGTTGAAGCCTGAACCTGCCCTTGTCTCAGGGAGGTTGAAAACAAGTCTGCCCTGAGACCACATGAAAGCACACAAGCCTGTAGCTTTCTTGCTGTCTCTGATCTTGCCTGTTCCCTAACATGCTTGGTGCAGAGCCGTTGGGGTTGCACAGCTCCCCACAACACCCTGTCCTAGGTGAAGGCAAACCACACCGGCTGCTGCAAAGCCTGCCCTTGCCTTTAAAACCCTGCTGGGACATGTCCCACCCCATTCCCTCTATTGCCTGAGCAATCCATGGGGCTTCCTTGGTCAGCCCCCGGGGCTCTCCCCAGGCCCTGCCCGCGGGGAGGTTGGTGGGCAGCAAGAGAGGTGCGTTGCTGAAACGTGGTGGCTCCTGAGCTGGATGCAGAGAGTGGGTAGTGTGCCAGCCCTGGGGCAGTTTTTAGGGCCATGGTTTTGCAGGTCAGTGGGCACCAGAGGGAGGAAGAGAACTTGCAAAACGAAGTCATTTTCCCAGGACTCACAGGGTTGCCTCTGGCCAAGCCACAACCTCCCCATGCAGCTGGCCAAGCGCCGCGGGACGAGGACACTGCCTGTCCTTGTGTGCCTCCTGCCTGAGCCACCAGCCCCTTCCCGCTCTGCCTCGTGCGCGGTGACTGTGGCCTGAGTCAAGACGTGATGCCCAGTCACGCTGTGGCACCCCCCAGCCTCCCGCGGCTCTCTGGCCACCTCGGCATACAGCGTGACCAAAGCTGGTGACGCTCAGGAGGGCTGTGGGTGGGTGGTCAGCCTTGCTTCTGTCCTCAGCTGGGCGAGCTTCAGCCCGAACAAATCTGTAGCATCTTCATCTCCACGTTCACTTGGCTTCTGCTCCATCGCTGCTTGTCCTCTCTCCTGCTCAACTTTGCTGGCCTCCCTCTCCTTCCAGAGCAGCCATATCACTGCTTTCCTTCCCCACCTCACCCGCTCCAGCTCCTGGATGGGGCTGCAGCACACTCTGCTCCTCACCTGCTGCTTGGTTCCAGCCTGGGAGTATTTCATCCCGAGTGGCACCATACTGGGAGAGGGGTCTTGTCAGATCCCAGTGTGATTTTCCTGGCTTCCTGGTCATCGGGCACAGGATCAGGCTCTGTGACAAAGCCTGTGCTAGCAATTTGGCCTCAGCCCCACCTTGCCTTTGTCCCTGCAGTTGCTTTGAAGCTCCCAGTTGCTGCTGGGAACTGGGGACCCTGTGTCGCTGGTTGGGATGCTCCAACAGCTGAAGGGAGATATGATGCAGCCCAGTAAGAGATGTCGGTAGCCAGCTGTGGAAAAATGCCGTTCCCTTTGATCAAGTAGGGGTGTTCCCTTTGTGGGGTGGGCTTTGATGTCGGAGCTGGGGATCCCGGCCCTGGTTCAGATGCGAGTGCCCAGCCTGCACGGCCAGGCAGCTCTGCTCCCGGTGCTACCATTGCCATTGCTTCAGCCAGGTGCAAAAAGGAGCAGATCAGCCTTGGAGCGTCTTTCAGCATTGGTTGTTTTCCCCTCATGGCAGAGAGCTCTACATGCCTCACGTCCTCACCTCCTGGTGGCTGGGAAACTGAGGCACGGACTGTGCTGTGCTGGGGAGTGACACCCTCTTTGGGCTCTCAGGTGCTGTGTGGACCTTCCTGAGCGGGTGACACCCGGGCCCTGCAGCCCCAGCAGTCCCTCTTTCCTGCAGAAATGAGGCCGCCTCTCCCTGGGAGAGGCACGGGCCGCCCGAATAACCCAAACCCACTTCCCACTGCTGCCCTCGGGCAAAGCCGCGCCGGGCCACTCCGCGGCTCAGGGCTCGCCGTGACCTTGCTGCCCCTCGTTGTTCTCTGCCCCGGTCCGTGGCGGCTGCGTGTAGGGCAGATGAGGGCTGTGCAGGGTTGCACAGCGGTGTTTAACCCTTGCTCCTTCCCCTGCGCAGCTGGCGATGGCTGGGCGCAGGGTGCTGCCCGGGCGGCGCCGGGACCGTGGCCAGGAGGTGGCAGCAGCCCCTCACCGTGTTGCCAGGCCTGGGGTGCGGGGCCGAGACCCCTGCAGAGAAGCATTGCCACGGCTCTGGTCCCTTCTCTGGCAGCAAGGAGGGCACAGGGAGAGGAAGGCAGAGCTCGCCACAGCGCTGTGAAGGCAGATGTGCTGGAGAGGGCTTTGGCGGTGTGCTGCGGGACAGGGACCGGGGGACACGGTGGCTCTCTGCGCCGTGCCTCTCTGAGCAGGCACAGCTGGGCTGCAGTTTAAGCATCTCGCCGCTGGGCCCTGCGAGGCGTTGTGGTTTGAGGCAGCAGTGTGTGGAAGTCGGAAAGAACAAACTGTTCAGCCGCCAGCCCTTCCAGCTTCTGCTTTCGAAGTTATCTAACAGCCCAAACAAACACAGAAAGCGCTGGCTCAGCCGCAGCTGGCCGGCCCAGCCCGGCAGCGCAAGGCAGGCACAGGCCGTCCCGTTCCCACTCCTGCAGCTGAGCAAACCGTGCCGGGTCATTGCTTGCCGCTGCTCTTCGTGGGGTGGGCGAGGGGCTCCGCTCTCCCACTCCCCACCGTGGCTGTGCATCCTCTTCCTGCACCACCGCCAACGCCCCCTGGCACAGGGCAGCTTCCTGGGCACCCCTCTCCAGCGATGGCTGGCGGTCCCTTGTCCCTGCAGAGATGGGCAACCTATGTGGCCTGGGAGGGGTTCCCCTGCACTCTGCTCAGTCCTGCTTATCCACTGGCAAATGGCACGGGCTTGCTGTGCCGATGCCACGTGTTGGGATGCAAGGGCAGGGTGGCAGGACTGGCACAGAGATGCTGCGGGCAACCTGCGCAAAGGAGAGCACTGACCCACCACCCCGGGGTGCTTCAGTGCAACCCACAGCCCTGGAGATGGGCACCGGGTGCTGGAGCACGCAGCCTGGGGAGGACCCACGTGGTTCAGCCGTGCATGGGGACAGGGACAAGCCTCTGTGTCCTCAGACAAGCTGTGGGACCAAAAAGCTGCCAGCTTGAGGGATGCAGGAGGTGACTGCAAACATTACAGAGAGGGGCAAGCTGTGCCTGGAGCTGGGCAGCAGCAGACAGCCCGGAGCAGGGTCCTGTGGGTGGCCCTTCCAGCCCTGGCCCGTGGCAGAAAGGGGAAACTGTGGCTTGTAACCAGCTCTGAAAAACAAGACTGTGTTGTGGTGTCTTGTCACAAGTGCCAGATTCACATGCGGGGGTGCAGGTGGGAGGGGGGAAGTGGGAAAGGGGTGGGGAGCCCTGTTACGTAGAGTGGGTCCTCCAGCCTTCCTTCCTGTGGCCACGGGCTGAGGGTATATAAACAGCTGAGCTATAATTATCTGAGGCTGGTGAGCAGCGAGCCCCAGCTCCTGGCTGCCACGGGCATGTCTGTGGGGCCAGCGGGCTCAGGGCTCTCCAGGGCTGGCACCCACGGCCCAGGCATCTGCGCCGTGCTGCTGGGGAGGAAGGTATGACCCCCGGCTTGCTGCCTCTGCAGCAGGAGTGAGGAGGCTGTGGAGACCCCAGAGAGATCACAGAGGGTGTATGGAAGGAAAAGTCCCCATGGAGGGGCCCAGAGGCTGCTGGATGATTCTCCATGGGCAGGAGGGCAGGAGGGCCCATTAGTTTACATCAGGCTGGTCTGGGACTGGTCCTTGCCACTGTGTTTCCCACCCGAAACTGCTTCCATTTGTGAAAGTCTAATGCAGGGAGAAGGCACCCGCCTCTGCAGTCCTTTCTGTTTGCATTTTGACCATTTTGATCCGTCTTGTGAATCCCGCTCTGCTTCCCAGTGAAGCCCCTTGCTCCTCGTTCCTGGCAAGAGCCTGTCAAGGGGAACACCCTGGGGGGATGAAAGGAAGACCCCAGGGGGATGGGGTGCTGCACCCTGGCTTGGTCAGATGCCACAAATAAACCTCTGATTCAGACTGCAGGGCCGGGCAGCTCCACCTGCTGCCATCTACACGCATGCCAGCTCCTCCAGTTTTCCATTGTAGGGTAATCTCTCTCTCCGTTGCACTGAAGGGATCCAGGATGCTCGGTGTTTCAATGGACAAAATGGACATCTGAGAGTTTTACTGGACCTTGATCTTCACAAAATTTGGTCCAGAAGCACTCCAGGGTGCATTCTGAAGTCTCCAATGTCCATGAAGGTGCCTGGTGTGTCAGTATGCAGGCAGATGTTTCCCTGACCACACCAGCACATGTTCACCAAGGGTGGGAGGAGAGGAGATGCAGCAGATAAGGGTCACGGCAAGGCTAGAAACTGTTGGGGGATTGGGAAGGGTGAGAGGGTGTTTTGGATGCTCCTTGTGCTGGAGAAGTGGTAGCACGATGGTGAGACAGGGCCTGGGAAGGACCAGAATGAGTGTGGAGATTGTCCCTTGGAGCAGGCAGAGGTGCACGGTCTGGGGTGGACTGTGGCTGCGTCCCTCTGGGGCACACCTCGCCTTTCTGCTCCCACGAGTGGGTTACATCGGGCCAGGCCAGGCTGAGGTAGCTCTAGTTTGGGCTGGGATTTCTGCAGCTAATGGGAAACAGTGAGCTGGGAATGAGGAACTAAGACACGGCATGAAGACACCCGGTCATTGCAAAAGGCTCAGCCAAGGGCTGGCTGCAAGATGTGGAAAGTGCTTGGGGTCAGTTTGTGCTTAAAATTTCCAGCTCCTCCAGCCTTCTCACCCTCAGCTGAGCACAGTGTTTGCTTTCACTTCCCTGCCTGGTCTCCAGGACAGACAAACACTGGGAACTTTCCACATCCAAAACAACAAAAACAAAAGACATGCAAGAGAAAACAATGTTTGGATTTGAGAGTAAAAGAGGAATCCATCATTTCCTACCCAAAACCAATCCACACTCAGCGGGGAGCTGGATAAGGAATGGAAACAGCCACGTATAAAAGATGAATTGGTCACAAAATAGGTCCTGGTGGCCCAGCTGGGCTGCCCAGTTTGGGGCACATGGGGTCTCTTGCGGTCACCCCGTGAAGCCCAAAGGCTGGTCTGCCAACCCCAGGGAGATGTTCTGGGGTATTTTAGGGCAGTTTGGAGCAGGCTGTTAGCTCTTGAAGCGCTCAGCATTGGTGAGCGCAGGGCTGGAGGTTTCAGGTGAGGAGGTGTC